GATGCGAACTCAGGCGATGAACGCTGCTGACAGCGCTCAAATTGGTATAAGTGTTGAATCGCTTACCATACTGAATAACAAGGAGCCAGCTGTGGGCACCACTCCCAGTCAGCAGGTTTATTTTGACTTCATTTTTAAACAGACTTTTCTTTTTAAAAGTTATGCCTTTTTAATAATATCTGAAGTTTTTTTTTTTTGGAACACGATCGCTGTAAGTGTAGGGTTTTTTGATATTTAACACTTGGAAATCCGTAGGAACCGTTGGCTCCTAGCAAATTTTCTGCTGGTATTGGCCATCACGCGGAAATGGGCTGGATGAGTTATAGCACCAAGGTTAGTGTGGTTCACCTTGCATTTTTCTTTGAATGCCCGAAAACAAATGAGCAGATTGTCTGATATGCCGATGTTAAAGCTACGTTCAGTGATACAACGAAAAAATATAAAAATAAAACGGATATAGTGTTGATCCTCTGTAAGCATTCACTAGTTTGTGTGGTATATTTTTGCTAACAGTTGAAGGAAGTGATTTTCAAAACGTGAGAAAATTATTGCATTCAAACTGATGCACAGTAACGAACAGCTTGATCTTGAAAATTGATGGCAGTTCTCTGGGAAACTAGATAACACTGCAGAACATAAAATCCTTTGGGTTCCGGGCGAAGCGTATTTCACGTTTCGGACGCGTAAGGGCGAAGATGTTGTGAGAAGAAAGGTGTTGTGAGCTAGTGAAATATCGTTTTTCTCAAAAGCTCGGCTTATTTCCAAATTCTACGGCAGAGCTTTTGTTTAAAACATCACAGACATCAGTAAAATCGGGCACCCCAGTGCTTGCAATTTCAATAGTTACCTCGTTTGCTGGTGAATTTCCTGCTTGGCGATTTATCCTTTTTTTTTTTTACTTATTATTTTGCAGTCATCATTTATGGAATATGCAGAAAAAATGGTGAAAAGTTTTGTTAATTATGTCAATTCTTTTGCTGTCCGATTACCGCGACCCGAAAATCCGACATTTGTTACGGATTACATTCCGGCAAGCGCAGTTCAGAATTGGTGTACCAATTTCGCGCAGCGTTTGCAACAAAATCCAGATTTCTGGCGGACCATAACGTGATGTTTTCACAGTTTTTATTATTATTCATATTGTGTCTTCTTTTTGGATGCATAAAATTTGCTTCTATTTGATGTCCTTTTCTTTTTGTTTTTGTACAGGTGTGCTAATGTTGTAAATATCCTGTAAGAACTAGCAGAAACACAACTCTTCATTTCGTTGTTTTATTTTCTTCATCCGTTTTCGAGAAGTAATTTCCGGTGATCTGATGGAACTTTTATCAGAATGTCTTCCGTATTTACACTGCACGAGAGGCGAAGGCAATCGAAAGTAGTTCGAATGCTGGCATCAGCAGCGTAGCTCAAGTACCATCAGCAGCACTTGTTAGCAACTTTTTTGCGGGTTATGCAGAAGTATTCGGATGGTGGGTTTGACTCCTCTGAAAGTGCCAGTACTAATTCGAAATCGAAACAAATTAACGGATCGTAGAGGGATTGGTTATCGTTTTGGCCGAGTCGACTTGTGGCATGAGATTGAGTCGTACCGAGATTTTAGCTGCTTCAATTTCGAGTAGGAGAGATTCATGGGCAAATGCAGGAGCAGTTCAACGTATGGGACATTTTGACTTGATTTGACATAAATGCAGAGGGTTTTTCGCAACTTCTTAAATTTGTTCGTCATTTCTTTGTGCTCATTTTCGGTGAAAGACTGGTGCTCGCCTTCTTTTCGCATTTTGCATACAACTCTGTGCAAAGAATATTGCAGAGGTGCGTAAAATAATTCTTTTTTTCCACAGAATTTCCCCTTCTGTCTCTCCGTCTAAGTAATCCACTACATGCAACTGGTTTATGACAGTACTCAGTTCTTAAGATCAATTTTAACGACCGAGAAAGAAGTTTTGTTCCTAAATAATTCTTTGAAGTAGGTTTTACACTGCACAGGTGCTTCTTCGTATTTCGCATTGATTTCCTTGCCCACCTTCCTCCAGAAATTACGGAGATTGCGGATGCAGTTGTCAGAAATCCAGCGAGCGAGCTGTGAGAATTGGCTTCTTGGTGTTCAAATTGACAATTTGGCTTGAGAGAGTTTTTCTCGTGTGGGGTGTGCTTCCGGTCCTGTGTCTGAGGAGGCACTGCCAATTCTTCCTTTCGGTTGTTAATTGCTGAATTGTTAGTCTGTAATAAAATGCTAGCGTATAATGTTACTCTTTTAAATACCTTCTGCTGTCTAGTGTCAAGCTTTTACAGTTGGTCTCATCGGTGTGTTTCAGTAACTCAATTCCACTTCTTCCTGATTGTCCAGTTCACTTCTGAAATACATCCAATTGTAAAAATTTCTAATTTCAATCCCCAGATGTTTCAGGATTGACCGGCTGCTCACGCCTGACCCTTGCGCATTCGCAGTACTTCTGGCATTTGTTACTGTACCATATTCTAAGCATTTGTAGCTCCGAGTGCTTATGCATATCCTGTTCTAATCTTTTTTGTGTTTTGCATGGTGTCGCGTGTTTCTTTCTGAGAACAGACCTATGTCCCAGAAATGTCCCAGAAGTCCCAGAACAGACCTAAGTCCCATAAGGATTGCGGGCAGAAGCTAATTGCGGCAGAGCATGTACAAGCCCGTGGCACCGGTAGTTTGGTCAGTTACGACTTTCCAATTTTTTCATCATTGCACCCAAACAATGCACATTCCTCTGGCAGCTTGTAAATGTTTTTCTTAATCACACTTTGAGTTTATATAAAGTTGTTTGGAACGTTTTGCAACAAACCGGTATGCACAGTAATGAAGGTGGGTTTTTGCATTTGATCATCAAGCAGTTCCACTTTGGGCGATGTTTTGTAAGTACGATGCGTGGTTCTGACGTCTCGGCG